GCGTGCTCAGGGAGGCTGCAGCACCGCTCCAGGATGTGCTGCTACGGTCAGGAACGTTCGCTCGGCGTGTCACCGCGGCGGCCCCGGCAGCACGCTGTGATTTGCAGGAGGGTACAGCGTGTCGCTCCGCCTCGCGGGACGGGAAGACGGGATAGTCTCGGGACGTTGACGCTTGGGGAAAAGGACGTGGATAGCGTGTCGCGCCGAGGAGGAGGAGGAGGAGGAGGAGGCGGAGGAGGCGGAGGAGGAAGAGAAGGAGGAGGAAGAGGAGGAGGAGGAGGAGGAGGAAGAGGACGAGGAGGCGTGGTGGCTAGAACCGGCGGCGCGAAACACTGAGCCAAACAAAGCTCCTGCTGACCGTCACCGAGTCCATTGGCTGGGCCCTCCCTGGCTTCGGATCCGCCGCACTCCGGCCGATGTTCCGACTTGCAGCCGTGTGGAACATGCACCGCAAGCGGTGCGAAAAGGGAGGGCGGAAATCCCCGCCTCAAGGAGAAATAGGGCGGATATCTCCGCAAAGGCACGGCGGAAACAGCGACGTCACAGTAGGGCGGAAGTCGACCTCAAAGGAGCTAGAAGAGTAGGGCGGGCGTTTCCGCCCTACTGACGCAATCGCCCTAAAGAACGGCGGATCCGAAGTCAGGGCTTTCCTTCTCTGTGCGCGTCAGCGTTGGCCTCGGCTTCGGCTGTGGGTGCACTTCGAAACGTCGTCGGGACAGCCCACCCGAGTCGGTTTCCCGCTCGCACGGGTGCCCCCCTCCTCTCCTCCATCCTCCCCTCCCTCCCCCTATCCCCTCCCCCCCCTCCTTCCTTATCCACCCCCTCCCTCCCTCCTCACACCCTCCTCTTCCCCCCCTCTCTCTCCCCCTTCACCCCCCTCCGTCACCCCTCACCTCCCCGCCCTCTCCGTTCTCCTCTTCTCCCCCCTCCCCCTCCTCCCCCCCCTCCCCCCTCCACAATTACTCAATATGAATACTACTCTCCCTCTTCCCCTGGTGACGTCTTCTGCGTATTGCCCCCCCCCCGCGTATTTTTTAAACAAAAACACACACACACACACACACACACACACGATTCCCCTGAGTTGGGTTTTCGCCTGCGTTTTTTTCAAAATGCTGCTCTCGCTGAGGCGCCGGCCTCACTTCTGCTCCCGAATCGTTCCGAATCGTGCTCCCGCTGCAGCGTGGGCCTCATTTTCGGATCGGTGTTTTGCCTCCGTCGTTCAGGATGGCGTTCTCGCCCCAGCGCGGGCCTCTTTCTCGCGCGCCCATCCGCCCGCCACCACCGCGCCGCACCACGCCCCGCCCTGCCGCACGCACACCCACCGCCACTTCCACCCACCCACGCACGCACGCACGCACGCACGCGCACCACCACCGCGCACCGCCACCACCACCGCACTACCCCACCCACCACCACCACGCTACACCGCGTCACACCACATCACACGCGCGCACACACAGACACACACGCACGCACGCACGCACGCACGCACGCACGCACGCACGCACGCACGCACGCACGCACGCACGCACGCACACACACACACACACACATACACACGCATACACACGCACACACACCCGCACACACATGCACACACACGCACACACACACACGCACACACACAGACACACACACACACACACACACACAGCACCACCGCCACCACCACCACCGCCATCACGCACGTACGCACCTGGCCCACCACCAAACCACCAAGACGCCACACCACGTCACACCACAGCACACGCGCACACACGCACACACACATACACACCACCACCACAACAACCACAACCACGCACACACGCACGCACGCACGCGCACCACCACCCACTACGCACACGCGCGCGGAGCCACAGGTCGGCTACGACACGCGTCCGCGGATAGAGAAAATCAGCGCCATGGTAAGGGATGGGAGGGAGGGGTAGGATGTCAGATGTTGACGCGAGCGCACCTAACTTGTCTTCTCTCCCCTCCCCTCCTCCCTCTCCTTCGGCGCGGACATTCTTGGAATCAGCGACCAAGTTCTACTGACGATGAGAAGGCAAGCGCTCTCAACTGTTAGGCCCTTCTCGAAAGGGCACTCTCTCACTGCTGTCTGTATTCTGTCTGATGATCCTTGCTGGCGTGCTGCGTGTGCAACGCTGCTGCGGTGGAGCAAAGAGATATGGTTGGCCCAGACTCGTGTTCATCCTTTCTCCATTCAGCATCCGGAGTTAAGATGTACTTGGCAGTCTGACTTTGCTCTTCCTTATGTTACTTGGCCCACTGTTCGAGGCCCCCTTCTCGGCGCTTCGGCTCACGCTTGTGCGCCTAGGCTGGGTCATGGACGACTACATCACGATTACGGACGATCGTGGTTATACTTTTAGTTTGGGCCTGGCACCCCCGGCCTCATGGAGACCCTGTGTATGGATGCCTATCACAGGAGCCTCGAGAGGGACTTGAGGGCAACATGGGGCATGGATTGCAGGGTTTGCCTTGATGTCCCCAAAGCGGCCATCAACAGTAAACAATCCACCCCCGCGCAGAGAGGGTGGATTAGGGCCTGCTCGTGTGATGCCATCTGGACTGCGGACAAAGCTCTAGCGTGTGGGTATCAGGTTGACGAGCTTTGTCCACTCTGCCGGCAGGCGCCAGACAGTATCTTCCACCGCTTGTGACAGTGCTCTTTCGGCGCGGTGGAGCAGCTGCGAGCTCAGCTGGTCCCTGCCTCGGTAGTCTCGGACTCTGCACTAGTCTGGGCAGCTGAGGCCGACAACCACGTGGTCGCCCTGTATACTCGTGGAGCTTTCGCTCATCCCGCCGATGTCTTGCCGCGTCCTGCCGTGGAGGGCACCAACGCCTTGCTGTATGCTTGGCATGTTGACGAGCTTCAGGGTCCCGAGGGTCCCGTGGTCCCCGCCAACGGTAGGATGTGGGGTCATCTCTTCCTCGATGGGTCCTGCCAGCGCCATGTAGTTCGTGAGCTGTCCCGTGCTGCTTGGTGTATATCTATGAATTCGGATGACGGGAAGTGCCTTGGAGAGGTTCGAGGACCAGTCTGGGCCCACTTCCCGCAGACACCGCAGGCTGCTGAATACTCGGCTCGCTGTGTTGTCGCCCAGATTATGTGCTACCCCTCGGTCCTTTACAATGATTGTGCCAACGTAGTGCACCACTCGTTGCTGCCGCTGCCTGAGCGCTACCCAGGCAAGCGATCGCATTCTGGAATGATCTTAAACGCAGACAACGTAGAAGGCGATACGATTGAGTCCACTGTCAAGGCCAAGGCACACCGTGACGTGGAAGAGGAAGGCATTTCTGCTCGTGAAAGGTTTTTGCGTTTAGGCAATCGTGATGCAGATGTTGGGGCCAAGCATGGCCTACAGCTTCACCCAACAGATGCTGCCAGCAATCTAGATGTAGACGCTCTGGTCACTGTAGCTCGTGCCTGCTGCATCCTAGCTGCCAATGTGCCGCCGCTGTGGCCTAAGTTGTCGCTTGATGTCCCCTATGTGCCTGTGCCTGCAGTCCCAAGCCAGGCCAAGATCTCACACGCCTGGAAAAGGTGGTCTGGTATTTGGAGGTGCCCCCAGTGCTTGCATGGCAAGAGGTGCCCGCACGAGCCCCCCCCAGGTAGGTGCAGCAATAGGTCCAAATTAAATGATAATGTTCTCCCAAGTTTAGGGCATAGAGTCATTGCATTTTACTGTTCCGATGACTCGGTGTTGTTCATATGTGTTAGATGTACATGTCACTCAACGGGCAGCAGGGTCAAAGGCCTTGGAGAGCGGTGCGAAGGCAGGCCGTCCAGAAATGCTGGGACTGGATGGAACTACCTTTGCCATGGCATACACCCCCACGAGAAACGTCGAGCAGTGACAGTTTCTATCGACGACGTGCTTGAATTATTTTAACCTACTATTTTGGGGGGGGGCCGCGGTTGCTGGGCTCACGTGGCGGGTTCGATCTGGGGTTTTGCGGCGTCCTGCTCGGCGGTGCTGGTTACGCTGCCAGCCCTGAACTCGGGCCTTGGAGTTCCGTCGCGCAGGCGTCGCTGGCCGTCCTTTTCACTGCCTGGTGCTGTCCTCGTCCCCATGATGCACGGCCGTGGGGTGATGTCTCCCCTGCGGTGACCGCCGCTGCTCAAGGGGCCGCCCCTTTAGTACTCAGAGCGCGCGTCAGGGCTCCGTCCTCCCCGACCGTGCGCCCTGCCGTGGCATTCAGGACTCTCCGGGCAGTGTCGTGTACAGCCGATGCTACCAAGTTGTCCCCGTCTAAGGAGTGTGGTGGAAGGTCCTCTTGTTGAGGGTCTGCAGAGTTTGCTGTGTAGTCAGGCTGCGGGCCCCTGTCCAGGTGTAGCTCGTTCCCCTTGGTTCGAGTGGGCCTGTGAGGGGCCACCCAGCGTTGGGTCTCTGGGCCAAGTCTCGCGCTCGCGCCTTGGCACCCCCTTCGCTCCTGTGCGCAGCCGCTGCAGAGAATTGTTCAGTATCTCTGTTCGGCTGCACTCTGTATTGCTGTCTCTCCTGGTTCTGCACTGTTTCCTGGTCTATGCAGGCCAGACAAGGGCTTGCAAGGCTTGAACAGTGGCCTATGTCTTGTGCAGCCGACGGATGCCCTGTTGTTGGCGGCCGAGCCGAGGGTCGATCCGTGAGGGGAGGGGGCCATAGTGGGCGCGAAGCCCCCTCCCCGTAGCGGCGCTCACCGAGGCGAGGTCGCCCAATTCTTTGCACCTGCTGCTCGGTGCATTGAGCTTACAGCATGTCCCACAGTTGCTGTAAGGAGTCGCCTATTTGGCTGATGTGGTGAAGCCGTGGAGGCCAAAAACCCTCCTCCCTCTCCTCCTCTTCCCTCCTCCTCCTCCCTCCTCCCTCCTCCTCCCTCCTCCTCCCCTCCTCCCTCTCCCCCACCTCCCTCCTTTCCTCCCCCCATCCCCTCTCCTCCCTCCCCTTCTCCCCTTCTCCCCCCCTCCCCCCCTCCTCCCTCCCCCCTCCCCCCGTGCCACGGGGGACCCTGAGGTCCACCAGCGCGTTAAAGACCTCTGCGAACAGCTGCGTCTGCCGCGCGGTGGGCAAGAAGACGATGATCTCGGCCGTTCCGGGGGAGGGAAGGGCAGCCGAGGAGCTTCAGGACAGACCGCCACTCTCGGTGGCCTCTTGGCCAGTCTTGGGGTCCTCCTGGGCAGTCTTGAGCCTCTCCAGCAGCACTCCTCGGGCGTCTGATGCTCTCTTGACCCTTGCAGGGGCTCTCTCGGCCCGTCTTGGGCCCATCTTGGAGCGCGTGCTGGAGGGGCCGCCTTGAAGTCTCTTGGGGCCGTTTCGGCGCTGTCTTGCCTGGAGGCCTCCCAAAATGCCTTGGAGTCTCTTGGGGCCGCTTCGGCGCTGTCTTGGAGGCCTCCTGAGCCGCTTTGGCGATCTCTTCGGGCCATAGGGGATGCGGCCACTGTGCTATCCTTCACCTCCTGCTCAGGACAGGTCGCCTTGGAATCGGTCACGGATGGGCTGGTGGGGACGCGTGGATCGTCTAGAATCGAGAGTGCAAGCTGGGCGGCGAACGAGGGGGGGGAACTGAAAAGGGGCGGGCCTTCTCGGAAGGCTCGGAAGTCCCCCGGCCATCTGAGAAGTTCTCTAAGCCCCCCTCCGAGACGCAACACGGCCTCTCAGAAGGCCAGAGGCCTTCTGAGAAGTCCCGCTGTCTTCTGAGAAGGCCTTCTCCTTGTCACTTCCCCCCCTCGCTCGCCGCCGACCAGCGCAAGAACGCGGTCCAGTCTGTCGGGTGTCCGTGAGCGGGGGGCAGTACACACGGAGCGAAGAAACGTGCACTCTTGGGCCCGCAGTGGCAGTTCAAGGGCCTCTTGGGGCCACTTTGGGGACACCTCCCTGCAATCCTCGATCTCCCCACGCTGATTGCCCCCCCCGTTGCCGTCCCCTGAGATCCGACGTGGCCCAGAAATTGCACAACATCGCCAAAAATCGCGGCCGGAGCCCTGGACCCCATCTTTCTGCGTCACTTCTCGAGCCGGATCGCTCTGTGAGGGTCCCGGGGCCCGAAGGAAGGCGAGGACGCCCGCTGTGAAACAATTGCAGCGCCAGGATCTCAGGGGCCGCCCGAGTCTGGCCCGAGAAGTGTCGAGAGCACCGGCTTGCGCTTCTGCCGCCTCGGCCAACGGACGCCAGACCGCCTCTGAGCGCCTCGGCCGACGGCACCAGACCGCGAGCGGCCCGAGGCTCTCCACCCGGGCGCCGATGCTCTCGCGGCGGAGCCGAGGCCACCCGCGGCAACACCCCGCCGCCCCCACCCCAGGCAGGAGGGTGCTTCTTGGCCTTGTTGGGCCGCCTCGGCCTTTCCTGGCTCTCGTGGCTTTCTTGGGCTGTCTCGGCTCTTCTGGGCCGTCTCGGCGTCCCCGGGCCAGCCTGGGCGCTGTGGCGCAAGACAAAACACGAGAAGAGGACGTCCCACGAAGTTTCCGCTCCCACGTGCGAGCGGCCCAGAGTCGCACCCCAACCAAGGCGTGATCGCGTCGTAAAAAATCAGGACGGGAGGTTTTTGTTCATGTTTCGGCCTCGGGGGGCCCTCGTCGGGCCTCGGGACCGTCAAAAAAACGACTCGAGACGAAAAACCGGTCTCGGGGAAAGAGTCAGGACTTCTGAAGGGGCCATGGGACACACACAAACACACACACACACACACACACACACACACACACACACACACACACAAATAACAAGATTACCCATATTTTTCAATATTTTTTGGATTTCTGTCTTCCCCCCCCCTTCCCAGATTTTCCCGTATTTCTCTGGGAATCGACGATTAATTGTGTCTGTGTTTTTTCCCTGCTGAAAAGGGTCGGAATTTCCAGGGGCCCCTTCTTGAAAAAATCGGGACGTCGCGTGCCTGGGACCTCCCAGCCCCTCAGGGGCAGCGCCTCGGGGGGGGGGGCACAGCTCTGGGAGGGAGACCTCGAGCTGGAGCCGGCGACACGTCGCCGACGGGGGGCGGATTCCAGAAGCCCTGAACCCAAGAATGTTGCTTTGGACGCCCGGAATGGAGGAAGACGAGGAGGAGGAGGAAGACGAGGAGGAGGAGGAGGAGGAGGAGGAGGAGGAGGAGGAGGAGATGGAGGAGGAGGAGGAGGAGGAGGAGGAGGAGGAGGAGGGGAGGAGGGAGGAGGAGGAGGAGGAGGAGGAGGAGGAGGAGGAGGGAGGAGGAGGAGGGAGGAGTGAGGAGGGAGGAGGGAGGAGGGAGGAGGAGCAGGCCTTGGACGCCCGAAATGGGTACGGAAGAAATGGGTACAATGCCCGACGACAAATGCTGTCCCAAGCCAACAGCGGCCGCTGTTGGGCAGGCGGCCGTTTGTCTCGAATGGACACAGGCCGCGGCGGCGCGGACAGCGAGTCCGGTTCAAAATGAACAGGAACTGCTGCTGGGCATTGTACCGATTTTTCTGTACCCGTTTCGCTCGTGCTGAGTTGCCATCTCTTGGGGGGGCGCACTTCTTGCTTCCGCCGCCTGCCGCCCTTCCGCCGGCCTCCGCGGGCGGAGGCGGCCTCGTCTTACTTCCGCCGACCCTCCGCCGCCCTTCCGCCCGCCCGTCCGCCGAGGAAGAGATGGCAACTCCCCTGGCGAGCCGAACTCTATGTGTATATATATATATATATATATACACCGACGCTTTTTCCGGCCCAGCACTCAAACTCATGCACGTTTTGGGGGTCCTGGTGTATGCGGGATCCTGGTGTATGCACCGACGCTTTTTCCGGAGCGGATCCTGGTGTATACGGGATCCTGGTGTGTACATGTGCCGCTGCTTCCCCAAGAAAACGGGGAAGAAGTAGCTATACACCACTCCACCCCGACGTCGTCCCCGACCTGAAAAAAAGTCTTGGGATTTACAAAAAAACAGCCCGCCACTGGCAACGTACATGCTCCAATTTCCGATCCTTCGAACCTCGAACCCAGACCCCCGACGTCGTGTCTTTTCACGACGCCGCCCCCCCGAGGTCTGGACCCTCCCCCGGGACTGGTCTTTCATTGTGAGCCGTTTCTGAGTGGGGCCCCTGGAGGCCGAAAACAATTGGCGAAAAAACCTCCCGCCGTGCTCTTTCGTTGTGAGTCGCATCTGGACGGCCCCGAGGCCCAAGTGGGGCCCCTGGAGGTTGAACACAATTGGCGAAAAAAACCTCGCGCCCCTAATTGGCGAAAAAAGCCTCCCGCCGTGCTCTTTCCTTGTGAGTCGTTTCTTGACGGCCCCGAGGCCCAAGTGGGGCCCCTGGAGGCCGAAAGTGATCAGCGAAACACCTCCCGTCGTGCTCTCTCGTTGTGAGTCGTTTCTTGACAAAGCCGAGGCCCAAGTGGGGCCCCTGGAGGCCGAAAACAACTGCCGGAAAAAACCTCCCGTCGTGCTCTTTCGTTGTGAGTCGCTTCTTGACGGCCCCGAGGCCCAAGTGGGGCCCCTGGAGGCCGAAAACAATCAGCGAAAAAAACCTCCCGTCGTGCTCTTTCATTGTGAGCCGTTTCTGGACGGCCCCGAGGCCCAAGTGGGTGCCCTGGAGGCCGAAAACAATTGGAAAAAAAAACCTCCCGCCGGGCTCTTTCGATGTGAGTCGCTTCCTGACGGCCCCGAGGCCCAAGTGAGGCCCCTAGAGGCCGAAAACAATTGGAGAAAAAAACTCCCGCCGGTCTCGTTCGTTGTGAGTCGTTTCTTGACGGCCCCGAGGCCCAAGTGGGGCCCCTGGAAGCCAAAACAGTCAGCGAAAAAAAAACCTCCCGCCGTGCTCTTTCGTTGTGGGTCGTTTCTTGACGGCCCCGAGGCCCAAATGGGGCCCCTGGAGCCCGAAAATGATCAGCGAATGACCTCCCCTCGTGCTCCTTCGTTGTGAGTCGCTTCTTGACGGCCCCGAGGCCCAAGTGGGGCCCCTGGAGGCCGAAAACAATTGGCGAAACAAATCATCCCGCCGTGCTCTTTCGTTGTGGGTCGCTTCTTGACGGCCCCGAATCCCAAGTGTGGCCCCTGGAGGCCGAAAGTGATTGGCAAAAAAAACCTCCCGCCGCGCTCTTTCCTTGTGAGTCGTTTCTTGACGGCCCCGAGGCCCAAGTGGGGCCCCTGGAGGCCGAAAACAAGCAGCGGAAAAAACCAAAGTGATTGGCAAAAAAAACCTCCCGGCGTGCTCTGTCACTGTGGGTCGCTTCTTGACGGCCCCGAGGCCCAAGTGGGGCCCCTGGAGGCCGAAAACGATCAGCGAAACAAAACCTCCCGGCGTGCTCTGTCACTGTGGGTCGCTTCTTGACGGCCCCGAGGCCCAAGTGGGGCCCCTGGAGGCCGAAAATGATCAGCGAAACAAAACCTCCCGGCGTGCTCTGTCACTGTGGGTCGCTTCTTGACGGCCCCGAGGCCCAAGTGGGGCCCCTGGAGGCCGAAAACGATCAGCGGAACAAAACCTCCCGGCGTGCTCTGTCACCGCGTGAGTCGCTTCTGGACGGCCCCGAGGCCCAAGTGGGGCCCCTGGAGGCCGAAAACAAGCAGCGGAACAAAACCTCCCGGCGTGCTCTGTCACTGTGGGTCGCTTCTGGACGGCCCCGAGGCCCAAGTGGGGCCCCTGGAGGCCGAAAACGATCAGCGGAACAAAACCTCCCGCCGCGAGAGGGCCTTGGACGGCCGGGCCCCGCTCGGAGCGCCGGCGCGTCGGCGCCGGGCTCGATCGGCGGCGAGGCCGGCACGCCCCATGGGCGGCGGGCGGGCGGTCGTTGGGAATCGAAAACTGGTCAGGTCAGTGCTCCTGCCCCTCCTCCCCCCCCTTCCTTCCTCGCCCCTCTCGAGGGAGGAGGGGGGAGAAAGAGGGGAAGGAGCGCTGACCTGACCAGTTTTCCCTTCCCGAGGTCGGCCCCCACGTCGGCGATCTCAACAGGGGCGCCCGGCTTCGCGCTCCCGCGCGGCGCGAAGCGTGAGCAAAGGCGCATGGGGCCGACCGTCCCGGCGTTCCTGCGGGCCTACCACGGGGTGGTCCTGGAGCCAGAAGAGATGCTCTGGGAACCGGAATCGTGTCCTCGGAGCATGAGCCCGAGGCACGGAAACAAGACAATGTCAGGCAGACATGTTCCAAGGACACGTTGTGGAAGGCAGACGTGTTCTTGGGCAGACGCGTTCTATCTAAAATCAGACAGTCATGTTCTTTGGCGGGCCTATGAGCGTGCCAGGACGTTTCGCCACTGCTTGAAATAATTCCGCGCTCCCGCGCCACCCCCCAGGGGAGAAGAGGAGGATGAGGAATCGGAGCCGAACCGCGAAGCGCGAATAGCTTCGCGCCCTCGAGGGCGCCCTTGATCCATGGGCGGGTAGAGGTCGATGCATCCCCCCTGAGCCTATCCCCATCCTCGATGGACTTCGGGCCATAATTCGGACCTCCGGACGACGCTCGGGACGATCCGGGCAGCCCTGGAAGCCTCTCGGCGAGGCGCTGCTGCTGGGGAGCATCCCGAGGCTGGAAGCCGCCGCGAACCGAGGAGGAGGTGAAGGAGGAGGATGAGGAGGAGGAGTAGGAGAAGGAGGAGGAGGGGGAGGAGGAGGAGGAGGAGGAGGAGGAGGAGGAGGAGGAGGAGGAGGAGAAGGGAGGAGGAGGAGGAGAGGAGGAGGGAGGAGGAGGGGAGGAGGAGGAGAGGAGGAGGAGGAGGAGGAGGAGGAGGAGGAGAAGGAGGAGGAGGAGGAGGAGGAGGAGGAGGAGGAGCCAGAAGACCTCGAACCTCGCCCCCCCCCTGAGCCTATCCCTCCCTGGCGTCGGCGCCACCGAGTGCGGCGGCATCGGCAGAGGAGGGCCGGTGGCGTCTCTGACAGTGACTACTTACCAGACCACCACAACCCGAAGACCTGAATTTGACCCGAATTTCGGGTTTGGGGGGGTGCGGGGTCCATGTGTTTTTCCACTGTCCCCCGACCCCCCCCAACTGGAGATGGAGGGCAAATGGAGGCCTTCGGGTTGGGTTGGGGTGGTTTGGTGGGTGGTGAGATAGAGGGCAATAAATCCACCCCCGTAACAATCACCCCGAAATGCGAAGCCGTTCAGCAGACGCACCCACAGGAGGAACCGAACAGGGCAGGGCTGTTCAGTAGATACCCAGGGCCGCCAACGAACGCCGATTATCGGGTCTAGGTGATTCTTCCTCCCTTGATCTGAGGAGGCGGCCTTGTGGTCGGGGGCCTTCGCGTGCTGGGCAAGGGCGCACATCACCGCGGGCATCTGCTCCTCGATGCTGGTCACCAGGTGAGACTGCGGGATCTTGTGCGTGGGCACTTCCTCCGTCGCCGAAGGGAGGGGCCTCCTCTTCCTCCTCCTCCTCCTCCTCCTCCTCCTCCTCCTCCTCCTCCAACTCCTCCTCCTCCTTCCCTCGAACATCCGCCCCGGACATGCCCAGACGTGCCGCGAGAACACGCCCCGAAGGACCCCCTCCCCTTTCCCCGTTGTCCGTCCGCAGGCAGGATGACCCAAAATCAATTCCAACAACCGAATGTTAGAGGCGTGGACCCCAAACCGTGTTGCAATATGTGCGGTGCATTTTGGGTGGTGCAACCTGGGTGGTGTAATCCATGTAGCGCGTTCAATGTGGTGCACTCTAGGTGGTGCAATCCATGTGTGCAATCTATGTGGCGCAATGCACAGCAATTGAATGCAATGCAAAGCCATGCAAAAACATGCAAAACCATACAGAAGGTGAAACGCAATTCAAGGCAATGCAAAGCAATGCAAAGCAATGAAAGGCCATACAAAGCAATGCAAAGCAATGCAACGCAACACAATGCAAAACAATGCAAAGCAATGCAATGCCATGCAAAGCCATACAGAAGATGACACGCAACTCAAAGCAATGCAAAGCAATGCAAAGCAATGAGAGGCCATACAAAGCAATGCAAAGCAATGCAATGCAAAACAATGCAAAACAGTGAAATGCAATGCACAGCCATGCAAAGCTGTGGAAAGCAATGCAAAACAATGCAAACCGATGCAAAGCAATGCAACGCAATGCAACGCAATGCAAGGTAATGCAAAGCAATGCAAAGCAATACAACGCAACACAAAGCAATGCAAAGCAATACAAATCAAAAAAAGCAATGCAAAGCAATACAAAGAAATGCAAAGCGATGCACAACAATGCAACGCAATGCGACGCAATGCAAAGCCATTCAAAGCGATGCAAAGCGGTGCAACCCGGTGCAATGCAAGGCGATACAAAGCAATACAATGCAATCCAAAGCAATGCAACCCGATGCAACTCAATGCAACTCAATGCAAAGCTATGCAAAGCCATGCAAAGCCATGCACAGCAATGCAAAACAATGCAAACCGATGCAAAGCAATGCAACGCACTGCAACGCAATGCAATGCAAGGCAATGCAAAACAATAAAAAGCAATATAACGCAATAGAAAGAAATGTAAAGCAACACAAAACAAAGAAAAGCAATACAAAGCAATGCAAAGCAATACAATGAAATACAAAGCGATGCACAAGAATGCAACGCAATGCGACGCAATTCAAAGCGATGCCAAGCAATGTAAAGCGGTGTAACCCAATGCAAAGCAATGCAAGCGAATGCAAAGCAATACAAAGTAATGCAAAGCAGCGCAAAGCAATGCAAGGCCATACAAAGCAATGCAAAGCAATGCAACGCAAAACAATGCAAAGAAAACCGAAGCAACACACAGCAATGCAAAGCCATGCAAAGCAAAACGAAAAAATGCAATGCAAAGCGACGCCAAGCGACGCAAAGCGACGCAAAGCAATGCAAAGCAATGCAAAACGATGCCAATAAAGTAAAGCAGCGCAAAGCAGCGCAAAGCAGCGCAAAGACGTGCAACGCAATGCACACTAATGCAAAGCAAATACAAGCACTGAAAAGCAATGCAAAGCAATGAAAAGCAGGGCAAGTATGATGTCATATGCGATGCGATGCTATGATTCGCTCTGCTGCGTGCGTGAACCAGTGCGAGTGGTCGCAGTACAGCTATACCGTGCTCTGCCATGCTGTGCAGTGCTATGCGAGTGTGCGAGTGAGAATGGACGAGTGCGAGCGGACGAATGCAAATGGCGGCGACGGACGGCGGCGACGGGAAGCGACGGGCGGCAATGAGCCGGCCGGACCGGCAGCGGGCCCCCTCCAGGGCGCGGGCGAAACGAAGGTGCTCAGCGGCCCGAGCACGCGTGCTCGACTGGCCTGCGAAAGCTGAGGGCGGGCGGGCCGCAGCGCCTGCGCTGCCCGAAGCGCAGGGCGCCCCGCTGGAGTGCCGCCTCGCCGAAACGATCCCATCACTGGCGATTGCTGTGAAAGGGCCCCCACCGATGCTGGAGGGGATCGATGTGGTGGAAGTGTGCCGCCGATGTTAGGCAGGCGCCTGTTCCCTGCCCTGGAAGACGCGGCTATCTTTTTTAGCCGCGTTTCGCCGGGACGTTCCTCTCGCCTCAGCGCGGTGCAAGAGTGATTCAGATTACAAGCTCTAGCCGGGAATAGCCACGGGCGGTTCTCGCTTGGGCGTGGTTTACGGGTGGCTACATTAACGTGTCTAAAAATGTCGGCATGTCTAAAAAAATGACGTGTCTAAAAAGTCCGTGTCAAAACGTGGCTATTCGTGGCTAAACCAGATTTAATGCCGTTGCTACTTCTTGGCTAAACATGGCCAAAATCCAATCACGTTGAAGGGCGACTCAGACGTGGCAAACGCCAAACATCGCTCCCCGCACGACCCAGGAAATTTTCTCAAAAGACGAAGCAAGACAAGACGCCTGCATTTGACGGGGAGGCATGGGGGGATGCATGGGGGGAACGGGAAGGAGCGCGGAGGAACGGGGATGATCGGAGTGGTAAGGAGCGGGGAAGGGCGGGCAGCGGAGGAGCGGGGGGAAGGGACGGTTGTGAGAGGAGTGGGAAGGAGCGGTGATAACTGGGGAGGGGCGGGATGGCGTGAGAAGGGCTGGGGAGCATGTGGCACCAGAACGAAAGAGTACGTGAAAGTGTGGAATAGTGGGGAGCAGCGCGGGGGGCAGAAGAGTGCGGAGGAGGTGGGGATTGAGGGGAGGCTGAGAAGAATGCGGAGGAATGGCAGGGCCGGGGAAAAGAATATGGAGTAGAAAGTTTGGGAATAAAGTGGAGACTTCTACAGGCAATGTAGAGATTTGGAAGGAGCGGGGAAGAATGCGTAGAATTGGGAAGGATAACGGAGGAGTGGGAGGAGATGAGGGGGAGGTGAGGGGCGGATACGGAAGGTGGGGACCCAGAGGGGCACGGGATGCCTGGACCACAGCGGCGAGGAACGGGGACAAACAAAAAAGGACGAGTGGAAACTGTCCCAGGCGTCATCCTCCTCAAAATCCTCATCCGCCGCTTCATCATCCAACCTCCTATTTCTCACTTTCTCCTCCGATTCCTTCCTCCCCCGCCCGTTCCCCGCATCGTCTGATGCCGCTGTTCCTCCGCACCGTCTGCCTCTGGCCCGCGCGGGCCGTCGGCCGAGGCTCGAGCTTGGTGGGAAGGAAGGCTGACAGCTTCGGGGCCCTCGGCAGTAGCTGCGAGCTCGGCCGTGCACGGGTTGGACTCCTCCGACGCTTTGGGCACGTATCGTGCGGCTGCTTTGCGCGGCTTCGACGATCCCCGGGAAGCGGTTGAATGTCAATCTTCGCTTTCGTGTCCCTCCGATTCTCTATTTCCCAGCCCCTCCGTTTGCCGCGCACCCTCCTCCTCCTCCTCCTCCTCCTCCTCCTCCTCCTCCTCCTCCTCCTCCTCCTCCTCCTCCTCCTCCTCCTCCTCCTCCTCCTCCTCCTCCTCCTCCTCCTCCTCCTCCTCCTCCTCCTCCTCCTCCTCCTCCTCCTCCTCTCAGCACCCATATTCCCCCCCTCTCCACCACGGCTTCCTCCGCGGATTTTTGGACCAGGTGCTCAAGACACGAGTGCGGCCTTCGCCTGCGTTCGCCCTGCACTTGATTACCGCACTGTCCCTGTCGACCCAAGGGCAGCGCATTCGGAACGCAGAACTCACTTTGCTTGAAGAGCTGGCCGCGGGGAGAAAAATATTCGAACAGGCTGTCCAGGACGCCAAAACATTCAGATACCACGGGACGGAACTGGCAACGCTGATCAGCAACAACCATGCCAGAGGTGTCACGCAGAGACTTGGAAAAAAAACACCCATTTGCATCGCTTTCAGACCGAATCGAACTGATTTTGGAACGCAGCCCTTCTTACTTCGACATTTGCCTGGAGATTTGAAGCGGACACGGTAGCCTCGGATTTTTTGCACTCGCCAGATTACAACACGCACCCTCTAGCGCAAGAGTGCGCCAATGCAGGTACACCAGTCTTACCTGTGTCCTTGTACTCGGACGGAGTGCGTGTCGCGAATGACCCGTACAAGGACGCAGCGCACGCCATCTACATAGGGTTCATGCACCGGCACATGGACGAGCAGGCGAGGTTGATCGAGAATCACACGTACACTGTGCATCGTAAGTCCCAGATCAGCGGAAATACTCTATCGGATATATGGTCTGTCCTGCTCTGGGAATTACAATCGTTGGAACGCGGGCGGAGGCCTCGTCCTAGCGAGCGCACCAAACCTTTGGACCAGCAAGTGCCACGCTGCCCGCTTGGCGGCGACTGGGGCCTCTCCAACTACTTCTGCCCCATACAGATTAAAGCGAACGGGGCATACTACGCCGAAGCTCTCGGGATCGTTGGCCGCTAAGCCACCGCGCGCGCCTGCATGCACCCACTGCCCGCACCCACAGAGCCGCGAGGAAACCCCAAGGCCCCGTCTTCCTTCTCCTCCTCCTCCTCCTCCTCCTCCTCCTCCCCCTTCTGATCGTTTTCATCCGAATCCTCCTCGTCCTCCTCTCCTCTTCCCCCTCTTCTCCCTCCTCCTCGTCCTCCTCCTACTCCTCACATCCTTCTCGTCCTCGTCCTCCTCGCCCTCCTCCTCGTCTTCGTCCTTGTCCCCCCCTCGTTCTCCTCTTCCTCCTCGTGCGCGTCCTCGTCGCAGTCCGCATCCTCGTAAGATGGCTGCGAGAGTCCTCGCCCCTGTCCTCCTCCTTCTCCTCCTCCTTCTCCGCTTCCTCCGCATGTTCCTCGTCCTTATCGTTATCCTCCTCCTCGTTTTCGTCCTCTTTCTCGTCCTTGTCTTCATCGTCGTCCTCCTCATTTTCCTCTTCCTCGTCGTCGTCGTCGTCGTCATCCTCCTCCTCGTCCTCCTCATCCTCCTCCCCCTCCTCCTTCCCTCGCCCCCCCCCCCGCGCAATGGAGGGGGTCCAGCGCCGATCCGAGAAATCCGCGCGGACCTCCGAATTGTTATTTTTATGTCATTGCTCGTTTACCTAAGAAAGTCGCGCGACTCCTCGTCGCCGATCGCGTCGATCATTGAGGTGACAGGAGGAGTAGGAGGAGGAGGAGGAGGAGGAGGAGGAGGAGGAGGTGGAGGAGGAGCGGGAGGAGGAGGAGGGGGAGAGGAGGAGGAGGAGGAGGAGGAGGAGGAGGAGGGGGAGGAGGAGGGGGAGGAGGAGGAGAAGGAGGAGGAAGGCGCGCGACTCCTCGTCGCCGATCGTGTCGATCATCTGATACTTCCCCTTCCCCGTACACCTCAGCGCCGCCTGGGCGATCGCGTTGACCTGCTGCGGGAACGTCGCCGAGAATCCGCGGGCCCCACCCCCTTGTTCGGGGGCGGGGCGAAAGCCCCACTCGGGAGCCCCGGGCCCTCTCCTTCCCCCTACGCCTCGGAGTTGGAGAAGCCCCCCAGACCCCCCAGACCCCCCAGACCCCCTCGCGTTGTGAAAAAATCAAGACGTGAGGTTTTTCGCTATGTTCGGCCTCGGGGTGCCCCGACTGGGCCTCGGGAGGGCCAAAAATTGACTCAGGATGCAAAACCGGTCCCGGGGAAGGGGTCCGGATTTCTGGGGGTCGACGTCACGAAAAAATCATGACGTCGGGGGTCTGGGCCCTTCGAAGCGACGAAGACCCTTCCCCCCCGGCGGAAACCCTCCGAAAAGCCTCCTGGGGCCCTTCCCGCAGGGTTTTCGGCAGGTGTCGGGATGGTTTCGGCGGTCTCGAGAGGAAGCCGGTCCCTAGCAAACCCTGGACTTTCTCTAACCTTAGAAACCTCCTAGATGGGGTCCGGGTAGATGGGGTCGGAGGATCGCGCGGCATCGCCAATGCATCTGCGATGCATCGTCGATGCATCGCCGACGTCGGCGGCACATCGGCGACGTCGGCGTGGAGAAAAAGTCGGGCTCAACATCGAGACGCATCGCCGATGCGGAGCGATCCTTCGACCCCATCCGCTTCGACCCCATCTAGGAGGCCTAGACTCGTGCACTCGCCACAATCGCACTCAACGACCCTCCCCATTTATCGTTCCCCCCTCTCCACCTTCCCAGACCCCCGACGTCGTGACTTTGTCACAACGTCGACCCCCCGAGGTCTGGACCTGTCCCTGGGGACCGGCTTCTCCTCCTGAGCCGTCTTTTGACGGCCCCGAGGCCCGGCGAGGGCCCCCCGAGGCCGAAAACGGCCAAAAGCCTGCCGTCCTGCTTTTCGTACCGCGCGAACACTTCTGGGAGGGACCCCCCGGAGGCCGACGAACGGCCCCGAGGCCCGGCGAGGCCCCCCCCCGAGGCCGAAAACAGCCCAAAGCCTGCCGTCCTGATTTTTGTTTGCGAACATGTCTGGCAGGGCCCCCCCGCAGGCCGACAGCCAGACGCGTCTTGAGGGCCTCCCGACCAGCTCCCCGGGGCGAGCCCGCGCCCGCGGCCCTTCGCTCCCGCAGGTGCGGGCCAAACAGGACCGAAGGCAAACCCCAGACCGTCCAGGGCGGCGGCGTCGGCGGCGGCGTGGGCGGCGCGGGCAGCAGCGCCCGGCGGCGTCGCGGGCGCCGGCGGCTGCGCTGGCGGCTGCCGTCGAGCGTTTGCGAAAGCCTCCCGTCGTGATCTTCTGTTTCTTCCGCAGCCCCAGACCCCCTCGCGCTGTGGAAAAATCACGACGTGAGGTTTTCCGCTATTTCCGGCCTCGGGGTGCCCCGAGGAGGAGGGAGGGAGGAGGAGGAGAAGGGAGGATGAGGGAAGGGAGGGAGGGAGGGAGGGAGGGAGGGAGGGAGGGAGGGAGGGAGGAGGAGGAGGAGGAGGAGGCCCCTACCGGCCTCGGGAGCGTCAAAAATTGACTCGGGATGCAAAGCCGGTCGACGTCACGAAAAAAACATGACGTCGGGGGTCTGGGGCGCGTGGGGCTCTGGGCCCCCGCCCCGGACCCCCGCCCTCCCGCGGTGTTGCCCCGCACCCCACCGGCGCCGCGAGCCCGGGCCAGCCTGCACCCCGGGTCCGCCCAAAACCGGGGGTCACTCGGGCCCTGCAGGATCCTGCAAGCCCTGGCGTGGTCGCGCCTCGAAAACAGATCAGGACGGGAGGCTTTGGGCTACTTTCGGCCTCGGGAGACCCTCGCCGGGCCTCGGGAGCGTCAGAAAACGACTCGGGACGAAAAACCGGTCCTAGGAAAAGGGTCGGGACTTCCAGGGACCCCGTGTTGAAAAAACCAAGACGTCGCATGTCCGGGTCCTGCAAGATCCTGCAGGATGCTGCACCCTCACCCGGGTCAGTGCGCCCCTGGCCCAGCAGGATCCTGCAAGATCCAGCGCTCTGGCTGACCCCCGTTTGCATTGACCCCCGTCTCAAGGCTCCCCAGACCCCCGATGTAATGATTTTTTCGCAACGTCGATCCCCAGAGGTCTGGACCCCTTCCCCAGGACCGGCTTTTCATTCTGAGTAATTATTTGACGGTCCCGAGGCCCGGTGATGGCTACCGGAGGCAGAAAATAACGAGAAACCTCCACGTCGTGATTTTTGTCACAACGCGAGGAGGTCTGGGCCCGACCCCGCACCCCACCCACGCCCCCCGGCCACCTGCCACCCGTGAGGGAACAATGTGAGATGCCGACACCCCGCGGCTCCTCGGGCCTCTCTCCCAGGGGGTGCGTTCGGACCAGGCTTTCGGAGCGAATCCAGCCGCAAGGACGAGGGTGAAGTCGGGCGTGTCCCCCTACAGAGAGATCTTCAACGAAAAAATACTTAACAAAATACTCCCAAATGGCGAAACAATACTCAAAAAATAATCCCCAGACTATTTTTTGACTATGTTTGAATATTTCCCCTGTAGTGGGACAGGCGCGACTTAAGACGAGGGACGGGCAGCGGTGCCTGCATCCCCAGACCCCCTCGGGCAACGAAAAAATCGTGACAGGAACTCGTGCCGCTGGTTTCGGCCTCCGAGGGGGCCCTCGCCGGGCCTCGGGACCTCCAAAAGTCGACCCAGGACGAAGCACCGGTCCCGGGGACGGGGTCGGGACTTCCAGGGACCCCGCGTTGCAAAAATCAAGACGTCGCGTGTCTGGGACGCCAGGATCTCAGGGTCTGGCGGGGTGTGCGCGCCCTCCTGGCCGAGGCCCGGAGGCCCTGCACACCAGCCCAGGCCCCCGGAGGGCCCTGGCCGGGCCTGGGCTGCGCGCAGGAGTGGCCCTTCGCCGGGAGTGGCCTGCGGTGTGGGCCCCTGCCATGGCTGGCGCGATTGGATTCTGCCCCTCCCCTCACCCCTGCCCTCCTCCACAATTACTCAAATACTACTCTCCCTCTTCCCCTGATGGCGTGCTGGGAGTGGCCGACCCCCCCGCGTACTGTTTTTTTACACACAGGATTCCCGGGAGTTGGGTTTTCGCCTGCGTTTTTCTTCAAAATGCTGCTCTCGCTGAGGCGCCGGCCTCATTTCTGCTCCCGAATCGTTCCGAATCGTGCTCCCGCTGCAGCGTGGGCCTCATTTTCGGATCGGTGTTTGGCCTCCGTCGTTCAGGATGGCGTTCTCGCCCCAGCGCGGGCCTCTTTCTCGCGCGCCCATCCGCCCGCCACCACCGCGCCGCACCACCACCACCACCACCACCACCACCACCACCACCACCACCACCACCACCACCACCACCACCACCACCACCACCACCACCACCACCACCACCACCACCACACCAGCACCAGCACCAGCACCAGCACCAGCACCACCACAACCACGCACACACGCACACACGCACGCACGCACGCACGCGCACCACCACCCACTACGCACGCGCGCGCGGAGCCACAGGTCCGCTACGACACGCGTCCGCGGATAGAGAAAATCAGCGCCATGGTAAGGGATGGGAGGGAGGGGTAGGACGTCAGATATGACGCGAGCGCACCTAGCTTGCCTTCCTCCCCTCCCCCTCTCCCCCGCTGCCCCTCCACTCCTCGCGCCGCCCCCCTACCCCCCTCCCCCCGTGAGGGGGGAATGATATGGGGGGACTGGCTCGGGGGGGGGGGGGCATGCAGCTTGCACCGGCGATACGTCGCCGATACATCGGCAATGGGCACTTGTGAGGGGGAAGGATATAGGGGGGGGGGGACTGGCTCGGGGGGGGGGGGAGCATGGAGCTGGAGTCGGCGATACGTCGCCGACAGATCGGCGATGGGCACCCGATAGCGAGAAGCCGCACGGTCCTGGGCGGGGTGGGCCATCGGGCCCCCCTCGGCGATGCGTGGGCGGCGGGGGGCCCGGCGCGCTCGTCGTGGGCCCATGCCAGGACGAAGCCAGGACGAGGATGAACTCGGGTGAGGGTATACAGTCGAAGCGCTGTCATAAGAACCCTTGATAAGGAGCGAGGCCCCTTTGTTCCATGAGTTCAACTTCGATTCCCCACAGAAAACTCCAGGAACACCTGAGACAAACTGCGAATGTGTTATGGAACACTGGGCCCCGCCGCAACGAAGAAGGTTCCTTCTTCAGCGGCCCGACAATAAATCGGCAACATCTGAGATCTGGCGGTTCTGGGGGACGTCTCCTGTGCCGCGGCCTTCCCAGAGCGCTCCAGAACGCTCTGAGAGCGTTCTGGAACGCTTCTTGCGAGGCGGGGATTTCATCCATACATACTGCATCCACCGCCTAGGAACTGACGTCCTGGTTCCCCAGCGGGCGGCGGATACGGATATGTGTTGGCCCACGGGGCCCAAAACAATACATAAGTACAAGAGTATATGTCTATATACATACATAGATCTACAGTTCCGAGACCATATACGTATACAGACAGTTATATGTATACATGTACGTATGTATATGTGTGAGTGTGTCTGAGAATGTGTATGTACATATCCATGGTCCATATCCATATCCATATCCATAACCCATATCCATATCCATATCCATATCCATATCCATGTCCTCCGCCGGTAAGGGTCCGCGAAGATCGAACCCTCCGGCAGTGGCATGGACAAAACCCCGCCTCGGAGCCCCGGAGCGGATTCATCCTCGGCCCCGGCCCCGTGCGGCATCCCCCCCCCCCCTCGCGCTGCCCCCGCGAGAGGTGCCCCCTTCCCCCTCGTGGCCCCCCCTCGGCGCCGCCCGAGGGATTCGCCGGGCCCCCCGCCCGGGCCCTCCGCGCGTGCGCGGCAAGGGTCGGGGGGGTCGGGATTGGGAGGGCGACGGCATAGAAACAACAGGAAGAACATCACCACCATCACCATCACCATCATCATCACCATCACCACCACCACCACCACCACCACCATCATCATCATCATCATCATCATCATCATCATCATCATCATCATCATCATCATCATCATCATCATCATCATCATCATC